CAATCACGATGTGTGTGTGTGTGTGGTGTTCTCTAACCAGCGGTAAGTTACAGTGACCGCCTCCACCTCCATTCTTAAGCAGGATGTTGTAGTATCATATGCTAGGCTCTCCTGCACCAAACGTCGACCATTAACTTTTGCTAAGAAACCCCAAGCACTTCTTTTGCCTCTTGACACTGAACCGTCTGTGTAAATGATCAAATCTTCTGAGCGAGCATTATCTTGAATTAATTGCTGAATTTCTACCTTTGTGGCACCTACTGGCCAATCTCTGCATTTCCGGCTAAGTGTGATTATGAATCTACACAAGTCTGACTGTTCAGGTGGCACTGACACACTCTTCTCCTCGCCTAATGTTCTCAAGGATGCAAACTTGTCTGTCTCTTCTCCCTTAGCCATCCCTCTTATCAGCCGCTGACCCTTAACTGCACTGGAGACCTAACAAGAATGCCCTGGTACTATCTGCCACAGCGAGCCAAACTAAAACGTTACAACGGGTACACAACGAGTGGAAGACCTCGGAAAATATGGAGTGATGGCATTAAGAACAGCCTTTCAGAAATGAACATCAGTCTTAAAAGTTCTCTTGACAGAGCTCATTAACAAATGTTACATCTTCCCCTGACACTTCTCTGAGGTACACGGTGGAAGGGAAGAGTAATAATTCCACATCTGCGTTGCGAACAAGGTTTATAATTCTGAGATATCTAGCTGTGGGTGTTCTGGCAGCATTTGTAATTTGTGCTATTTTTGACATTATCGAGAGCTGACCAGTTAGTAAGCAATGGCAAACTACTGAACTTAAAATGTAAAACCAAAAAAAAAAATCCACAAGACGCAGAGTTGCTTCTGCTGTGTCTTGTAAACTTAAGCGACCAAAAATTATCCTCAAATGTTGCAGCACTTACAAATGTTTTTTTACTTGTCTGTATTTATTTCTCAGGGCAGTGTAAGACAGAAAAGCAGGTCCTTGATTTCGAGTCGCTCAGCTAGTGCAGCCGCCTTGAAGTGTGCAGGCTCGGATTTTATTTTTGCATCCATCAGGAACAAATCCATCACCTTACAAGGAATTGAACAAGCATCTCCCAGCATATTTAAATGACTAGGCAGCCGCTCCTGCTCACCGCAATAAAAATTGTGACTTGAGGCTATCCCACTAGTAGCCGCACACAAGTACTGCCAAGCTTGCAACTAATTTTTTTCTTTATACCATCTTATGAACCTATTACTCTAAACTCACCAGTGTCTGTGGCTTAGGAGTTGTGAATATAAGTTTCACAAACCTGACATACCAAACACAGACAGCTGCAGGAGATTTGGTAAGTCTGCTTTGTGCTGCCTTTGACAACGCTGCACTGTACTTATCAGAAAGCAATGGCAAACTTCTTAACATAAAACTGCCCAGTAAATGCAAAACAGCCAATACAAGTTAGGAATGGTGTGCCATGTCCTAGTAAAGCATATATAACTAACCTCAATTTGAGACTTGAATAATGCACTTGTATCTATTGGCATATAGTCTTCTTCTTCTTCGCGTTCACCAGCTGTAAACTCTAGTTCTGGTTTCGTTACTACAAGATTCCAACCTGAGTGTTGCGTGTGCATTCAGATCTCTTGACTGTGGTTGCCTCTCCGGCAGACGTCCGTCTTAAAAGCTCCCCAATTAGTTGACATTTAGGCAGTGGTGTTTTCCCCACTGGAACCCACACAGGGGTGGCATATAGTGATTATATAGTTTGTTTACAAGATTAAATCCTTGTGGGGGTGGAGTTAAAATCAAACAACTGGACTGGCTGGAACTCTTCACCTGCTGTTGAAGTGGGGGTGCAGCAATCAAAGGAGTGTCCTGAGTGCTGTGCTGTGATGATTCAACATTCAAATCAAAACATCTGACATGAACAAAATCAGCAACTGTATTACAGTTAGGATTAAACATTTATTTACAAGCAAACAAAAGTAAGTGATATGTTAAATCAAAATGAACGTTCATGTACGCAGCTTCATCAAACATATTCGTTACACATTTCAGTTTTAAAAAACATGTTTATAGATTAAAAGCATATGTACAATATAAAGGCACATAGTTTTGTACAATCATAAAATATACACAAAAAGAATGTACACTTATAAAAGGTAACCCACAATTTAGTACAGCCACCATCAACATTGAGGATGCTTGAGAGAATGCACTAGTTCAGATTTGCTGGTTTGACTATTTTAGTGCCAAGCAACATGAGATGTGTGATTTTATCAGCCCACTGTGTTCAAAACATCACTTTGTTATTTTACTGTGTACATTTTTTGCTCACTGTGTGTACAAAATCAATTAGCCCACTGTGTCCCAAATATCATCATGTTTGTTTTCTTGCTGTGTAGATTTGGTCAAGAGAACAGTTAGTATCAATAACCAAACACTATCGACATTTATAGAGTGATAAATAACACATTATAATGAAACATGAGATTTAACCATCAATTTGTTCACTCCCAGGTTTTTAAAACCCTCCCAGCAAATATGACCTCCTATGATCGAATACTCCAGAAAAACCACTGGGGACATGGAATGAAAGTTAAATGCATTAAAAAAATTTTTTTTTATAAGGAAACAGATAAATCAAACAAAGGCAAAGAAATAAATAAATGTGTGGATTCATGCTTGTATCATCAGTCAGAAAACAAAGAAAGAAGATGGCAATATTATTTGGCAAACAACGAGGAGAAATGGACACAAAATGCAACTGAAATGGCGAACACATGGACGGAAGATGTCCAAAAGAAATCTGTTGAGGTCACAGGTGACAGACTGGATTCCATCATGACAGTGAAAGGACTGCACAGGATAGAATGGAATGAAAGAGTAAATAAATAGGAGCCCTATGTGACATATAATGCACAAATGGATGATGATGACCTAATACTGAAGACAAATACAGAGAGAGAGAAAAAAAAAAACCAAAACCCACAGCACAGCTAACATTAATTTTTAAAAAAAAAAAAAGGCAAAAGATATAAGACGATCTTCAACAGGCAAAAAAGTGATCATATCTATCGATTGACATTACAGAAGAGACAGAAAATATTAAAGACCCTAATCCATACACTGAGATGTATAATACTGGGTATATGGTGCTAGTTTCATATTGCGTTAAGACCATATGGTCAATGCCAGGCCACCTTTATTTCCCAGATAACTTCCTGGCCAAACTGGGGTCTAGACCAATTAAGAAATTTCCATCGGGAATTACTGTGCAGGCAGCCACATGTTCCACAATTAGCACACGGAGATCATAAACCTCCAGAGAAGTAAATAGTTTAGTTCAATCAATGTCACAACGTGATAAATCTGTGTATTATGCAAATCGACTTAAAATAAACTGAAGAGGAATTGCAGAGGACCAACAGAAAACAACTATATTTACACTGCATGTACATATAAAAGTGGAGTGAGTGTTATGATGGGGATGGGGGGAAAAGACAGACAGACACACACAGAGAGAGAGAGAGAGAGAGAGAGAGAGAGAGAGAGAGAGAGAGGTGTGGGGGGGGGGGGGTGGTGGTGGTGTGTGTGTGTGTGTGTAACTGAATAATTGGCATTAAAAAGAGATCACCAAATATCAGTGATAGCATTCACAGTGAGGTTTTATCTAAACAGCTGTAGTAACTAGAAGAAGTTGTATTAATTTAGCAGTGGTTAGAGAAAAAATGTTATAAGTAGCAGAGGTATAACAGGACTTTAGAAGTACTGAGTGGTAGTCAAATAGAATATAGTGATCAGCAGTAAAAATAAAAATGTGTTGTTTAAAGTCATCAACATGTCCATTGCCAAGTGACAGTTTCTTTCAGTCCTAGGCAATCAGAAACAATTATCTAGAAATATCTTCATGCCACCACCTTAATTAGGCCAAGCATCAGCATCGATTATCTCTCTTCACACCCTTAGTTAGACCAAGCATCAGCATTTATTATCTATATTTACCAACTTTGCAGCTGTTTTTTGTTTGTTTCACAACGTTCTCTATTATAAATGACTTAGCTGTTTTATTATCAAAAACAGTAGCTGCTCCATTTTTTTTTTGTCAGTCACCTTTTGAATATTTTACCATGTGTGATTATTAATTTTAGATTTTTTTCACCTCATTTCAATATTCACTTTATAACCATTTAGATTTCTTTTAATGAGTTATCTAAAAATCACATTTCTGCCAATGTTCTGATTTTCAAACTGACTATTCTAAAACTCTTGGTATTAACACATGACACTAAGCTAATTAAATTAGTTTAAATGAACAATGAATAAATAAAACAAACAGAAGACAGTAAAATTAGTTACTGATTTAAACTAGTTAAACATTTTTTTTTTTACTGAACACCAACTAGTTTTAATATATTTGAAAAAAAAAGTAGTCAAACATTTAATCTAAATAAGCTACTGTCAATTTACTGAGAAGGAAAAATTAGTTTCACTGAACACTTACAAAACAATACTATAATATATAAAGACAAATTATTTTAACTAGACAACTGAAAATAAATCATATATTAAAATAATACAATAAATAATATTCCTTAAAGAAAAAAGGTAGTGTTAATATATTAGTAAATATTACCAAAAAATTAATAAAAAATAAACAAATATTAACTGACGAAAATACAATTACTAAAATATTAGGATAAAAACTGAACACTTAATTTAAAAAACATATGTAAAGACAGTAAAATTACTGATAATATAGTAAGACAGCAGCCACAAATTACTGAGTCTATCAACAGAGCAGTTACTTATATTAATATACTTACAGTACAATTACTTAATATATTAAGATAAGAAAAATTAGTTTTTTTTTAGGTTTTATGAAGTAAAGACTGGGAAGAAAGTCAGGTGCTCCCCTGGGGCCAGTCACAGCTACAACAGGTCTCCGTGGGGGAAGCTGAAATTATTTAACAAGTCCTTTGTGGAAATTTTCAAGTCAAAACAGGTTCCATGTGCTGAAGTAGAAAAATCATAAGAGGTCCTTCATTGGAAGAGGTGAAATCTTGGCCACTTCATGGAAGACCCTGAAAAGAAGAGATAATATACAACAATCAAACTTCAAATTAGTGGCGCAACAAGGTAAAAGTCACTACATGACAGATACTATCACAAGATGGAAGTCACTAGATAATTTCAATGAGTTTGAAAGCAAAAAATGCTTGAAAGAGTAACATGTTAGATTATGTTAGTGCTGTAATATTTGTTTTCACAAAAAGTAAAGGTCCTTTTTTTCCATGCCTTTAGAGCAGTTGTATAGGGCTAGACCTATTTATTTATAGACCAAGCGGCACAAGATGGGTGATGAGACCAGCAACCCACCGGCCGCCTTTACATCCCGGGACTGCACCCATGACCTTCCGATCCAAATGCAAGCGTCTCGCCAATTTGCCACAGCGACTCCCGATATTTGTGTTACTGCTCGCTATCTTTCAAGTCTGCTTATTTAACAGACATTGGGGGTCGGGGGAGGTTCACCATTTGTCTTTCATTTACCATAGTAAAACAAAATCAGTTTCATCTTTTTCTACAATCAACCTTTAAAAAGGTGGCATGAGGCAATGTGGTTTACAGCTAGACTGCAAAAAAATTTATACTTTTGACCAAACACATCACTACTGGCAAACCCCTAAATTAGTCATTTACTATATGCTGTTTTAGGGCAGCAGTGGGTCTATTATTCCAATCAAATTGTAGACCCAGAATTGACATGGGAAAGTAAAACAGTAATTAAATCTGTAAAACACTAAAATGGATTAAAACCAATTAAAAATTAGAGCCACTTTCAGTAAAAAGAAATTTGTTGGTTACAGAAGAATTGGCTGCATCTCATTGGGCAGGGAAGGGGTGAGAAAAATAAAATACAGAAGTTCTAAAGAGACTAGATATGAAACCAGAATACAGTGGTACCTCAACTTACAAACTGGCCCAAACAAAAATTTTTTTTTTTTTCAAATCTCAGAATGTAAGATATAATGGGACATTGGGTTCTGAGAGACGAACCAGTCAATAACGAATAAAGCTTGTAGCCATAGACCAGCATTAGAAAGACATCTTTAGATTACCTAGAAGATACTAACTCTGACACTTTGATGATCAAATGTATGTAGGATAACACTCACACCTGGCTGTGAATTATAAGCTGTATAGAAATCATTATCTGCGGATTCTAAAGTCTTGGGTTCAGGTCCTAGCAAACTGGGCTCCCAGTCTGAGATGGGCACCAGGTGAAGTATGGGAAGTAAAGATGACCGGTGTGATGTTGACTACATCTCCCACCAAGGGCCGGTTTGTCTATAAAAACACAGGTCTAGCCCTATATGCCCAAAGTTGTGGAAAAGGGTCTTTGACTTACTTTACTTATAGACATCATTGTCTTACACAGAAGAGACTTCAACCCTTTGACGATAAACTGAATATAGGGAAAAACTTACATCTGGTTTTTCAAGATAATGATGCCATGAAAGCACCTTAAACTCAAACACAAGAAAGGCATTGCTATCCTTTGAGAATCGACATAAAGGCGGCAGCTAGCTACTTACAGGAATATGATGGTGGAGTAAGATGTACTTCTCAAAAACAAAGAAAGAACAAGGAACACTAAGTGAATTGAAACTACGAAGCGTGTGCAAAAGATAGTTATGGGACAGCAACACTATCTGGAACTTTACTTAGGAGACACCAAACTAAACTTTTAATGTCACAGAGCATCGGTTCTCAACCTATAGGTCGCAACCCCTTTGTGGGTTGAACAACCCTTTCACGAGGGTCGCCTAAGACCATCAGAAAACATATTTACTGAAGTTATGAAGTAGCTACGAAAATAATTGTTTGACTTGGGGTTGCTAACAGCATGAAAAATTGTATTAAAGGGTCGCCACAACATGAGGAACTGTATTAAAGGGTTGCAGCATTAGGAAGGTTGAGAACCACTGACATAGAGGCTCTACTAACTCTTGAATACCTGGACACATTTCCAACAACTGTAGAAGGTAGCTATCCTGCTGATCAACTTGCTTTGGGGAAAGCTCTAGGCAAAGATGAAATTCCTACATAGGTCAATAGGAGTGGAAAAGAGCACTCACTCCACAAATTCAGCTAGCACTGATGACCAAGAAATCATCACTCACCACTGTATGGGCTGAGTGATCATGCCTACCTATCACAATATAACACTGTCATCTTGAAAAGTGTCAACAATACAGTACAGAAACATCTTTGGTTGACAGAAGATGGACATGCCTGTAACCCAGTGGCTCTCAAACTTCCTAATGCCGCGACCCTTTAATACAGTTCCCTCATGTTGTGGCAACTCCCAAACAATTATTTTCCTTCAAAACTTCAATGAATGTGTTTTCTGATGGTCTTATGTGACCTCTGTGAAACCTCTGCTTTAACCCTTAAAAATCAGATGTAACCAAACCTAAAATCTGTGTATGACAGAACTGTCTAGAAAAATCTTAAGCTCACATAGAAACAACACAGCAATCTCATGATGACCCTGCAAAAGTGGAATAGTGAACTTACTCATGGGAGTATTTGCTGCGTATAGTTGACAACTGTGGCACAGGGGAGGCATGCAGTACTGTGTTCAGGGTCACCACCAAGTCCTTGATGTCTTCAAACATGTAGCCACTAGACTTGACAACTTCTCCTTCCTGGAAGAGACATTTTGCTATTCATTTATAGACGCTATCTTCTACTATAGAAAGCCTATGGTGGAGATGTTAGAACACTTGTTTGTTGAGACAATGGCCTGGGGTCAATTCCAAAAAGCGACAGGATATCATATGACCAAGTGGCTGAGACCTAGGCCCACAAAAAAGGGTAGCATATTTTTCTCCTTCTTCGTGTCCATCGGCTGTAAACTCTGGTGGAAAGTTCTAGTTGTTGTCCACTTCTGGACCTGTCCTGTTCCAGAATATGAGTGCCGCGTACACATCTATTTCACAGATATAAGGTATTCATGTGCATGCTGTTGGTTGCTTGCCTCTCAGGCAGATGAATTCCAGCTTGCAAAGAAGCTCCCAATTAGTCACCTTCTATGATGTACTTCAGGGTGAGCAGTGGACCTATTCTTGTTTTCTCTACAATGGGGTGCCGGAACCCACATAGGGAGGTGGCATACTGATTCAAGGATGTTCATGAATTTGGTGGGGAAGAAAGGCACTGGGAAAGGGAACACAGCCTGCCATAAATAAAATGACACAGGAGTTGGCAAGAAACAGACTACTTAATTTTGTACACAACTTTAGCTGCAAAATTCATGTAAAGCTATAAAGGACTTGGTGCTGAGTTTATAGCTCATGCTCTGTTAGGGGATACAAGACAGAGAAATAAAGAATAACAGAATAAATATCAATGTCGCAGGTACTATTATCTTCAGGAATAGTCGTGCCACGTGCTTGGAATGAGATTTGTTATTGCTGATATAGTGCCTATATGCTTCCTGATCTGATCATTTCTGATTAGCAGGGAATGACCAGGAAATCTGGCCAACAATATACATTCAGAGGAAAGGCAAGACAACAATCTAAATTCAGAAGAAAGGCAAGACAACAATCCACATTAAAAGGAAAGGCAAGACAACAATCCACATTAAAAGGAAAGGCAAGACAACAATCCACATTAAAAGGAAAGGCAAGACAACAATCCACATTAAAAGGAAAGGCAAGACAACAATCCACATTAAAAGGAAAGGCAAGACAACAATCCACATTAAAAGGAAAGGCAAGACAACAATCCACATTAAAAGGAAAGGCAAGACAACAATCCACATTAAAAGGAAAGGCAAGACAACAATCCACATTAAAAGGAAAGGCAAGACAACAATCCACATTAAAAGGAAAGGCAAGACAACAATCCACATTAAAAGGAAAGGCAAGACAACAATCCACATTAAAAGGAAAGGCAAGACAACAATCCACATTAAAAGGAAAGGCAAGACAACAATCTAAATTCAGAAGAAAGGCAAGACACCAATCCACATTAAAAGGAAAGGCAAGACAGACAAACTGCTACTACCATATTTCCTCAAAAATAAAGCTGGGTCATTTTTTGGGGCTTTAAAAATGCACTAGGGCTTATTTTTGCAGAATGCCCCCTTTCCAGATATAAAATCTACATTTATCAACACACAAAACTACATTTATTCAAATACAGTCACATCGGTTTTCTAGAATTATGAACCACACTATTTCATTATCAAGTTGCAGCCACTCATTTGGTCTCTCATTGTGAGATCTTAACTAGGGCTTACTTTTGGGAGTAGGGCTTATATAAAACAACCTTAAAATCACGCTGACGCTAATTTTTGGGGTAAGCCTTCATTTTGAAGAAACATGTTAGTACCTTCAGAAGTGGAACTCTGCACTGGCTGGTGAAGATGGGAACATGGCACTAATGGGAATGTCCCAAACACTGTGATGTTAGTTATAAACTTATTTCTGATTTCTCCCATTCTTGCCACACTAAGTAAATTTTTTTTTCTAACTAATTTCTTATCTGTTGTTACAATTATTCATTTTTTTAATACAGTAAAGTGAAATCTAAAAATGGCTATACAACTAAAAATATGAGCTATTTATTAATTAATCCATCTACCTTCACAGCAGTTCTTATGGGATTATATAAACAGAACAACAAATAAAGACAAGGATGCTGTGCTTTTATTTGTTCCAGTGACAGTTCTCTTACCCAGGCCCCTTCTTTCCTCATCTTCTGAGCTATATACAAGGCAGCTGCTGCTAACAAGGAATCTTGTGCAACCACCAGGCTGTACTCCATCAAAGAGATTTCCAGAATGTAGCGAGCCAGAGTCAAAGTTTCCATTGACATGCGAGCCACCTAGACAGATAATGAAATATATATTGGGTTCAGGAGTGATGTAAGGCCATACATTTTATCGTATTAGGATAAACATCTAGTTAGCACAAATTATATGTAAGAGACAGCGCTTAAAAAGGCTACAAAAGACAAAATGTGAGGTTTGGCATGAGTTTTGCGGAACATAAGAATAACTGACAATGCTAGGTTAAAGTGTGAGACTGGACTGACAAAAGTGTGAAAGAACTAAGAATCACTCAGAGTTTCTTTAGTGTACAATGAATGTGTGTGCATTAGCAAACAATCTACTCAAGCAGCCTACAGTAAAGTATTTCTGGCAATATGACAGATGACACAATGATAGTGAAGTCAGCATGGCAGGTGAAAACAGAATCGTAGGACAAATGCTGACTCCCAGCATGTGTGTGAAAGGAGACATTAAATGCTGACAGAAAATATCATACTGTAATTCCACCCTAGACCAATTAACGGCAGCAGACAGAGGACTATGTACATTTGGGAACAGCCAAACAACATTCCATGTTAAAAAGTGAGTTCTGCCCATCTGTTGTGGACTTCGATGTGTTTTGTCACTACTGATGGTATCTAACTGGATATCAGAGATCCCAGAAATTTGTAATGTGGCTATCTCAACCCAGGACAGTACATTACACAGACCTTTTATCTTGCTGAATATTTTCCCTTGAACCGATAACAAGATTCCTCCGTAATTTTCAACATAAGACATCGTCTCAAATCAGCTTGTATTTCTTCTGCCTGTCTCCTAAATAAATAATTTCTTAGGTAATCCAATCCAGAGAGGTGTTTATGCTGACTTTAATAAACTTCTGCTGGAATACTATTTGACTAGCAGCTTTCCCCAATTTTTAACAAAAATGTTTTAAGTTTCCTAATTCTCTCTTTAGATTTACTGGTTTACTTTAGATCTACAGGTTGTTTACCCGGAGGATCTTTTAGGAATGGTCTATTCAGAAGTTTATGAAAGAATTCAAATCCATGTTATTCTGATCGTAATTCCTGGTGAGATATTTCTCATTTTGTTTTACCAGTCCTCTTGGTTAATTAATCTGGCTACTTGCTACAGAGCATTTCACATGAAGTCTTGACTTTAGCAGCTCTCATTTTGCTACTACTGTGCATTTTACATGAAGTCTTGACTTTAACAGCTCTCGTTTTGCTACTACTGTGCATTTTACATGAAGTCTTGACTTTAGCAGCTCTCGTTTTGCTACTACTGTGCATTTTACATGAAGTCTTGACTTTAGCAGCTCTCGTTTTGCTACTACTGTGCATTTTTACATGAAGTCTGACATTAGCAGCTCTCGTTTTGCTACTGTTTAAACTTTTTAAACTGTATTTTTAGCTATATCGATTTTTTTTTATAGCTTCAAACATCCCCCATCATCCCCAGTTTTATTCACGATCCACTCCAAGTACCTTTGAGCTACCACCAGCAAGCAATCTTTTATACTGAACTCAAATGTTGCAGCAGTGGCACATAACAGAGACTGCACCCATTAACTGTTTTCTGACGTTTCTCCGATAATCTACATTGTATTCTTTTTATCAAATCATCTTTCTGTCATACACACAATACACATGTATAATGTCAGTTGTTGGTTGCTTTCTGTCATTCCAGATGACAGTGTTTACTTGTGCTACAGCGAGGCACAGAACACAGTCATGGTGTTGACAAAGCTGACTGTTCCTTCTTGCTACAGCACAATGTCTGAGCAGTTCCTTCTCCCTACAGCACAAAGTCTGGGAAGTAACTTTTCCTTACAGCATAAAGTATGAGCAGTTCCTACTTCCTACAGCACAAAGTCTGAGCAGTTCCTTCTTCCTAAAGCAGTCAGAGCAGTTCTTTTTTTCATATAGCACAAAGTATGAGAGGTTCCTTTACCCTATAGCTTAAAGTCTGAGCAGTTCCAACTTTATGACAAAAAGTCAGCCCACAGTTGTTATATTCCTGTGCCACTGGGGCCCGATTATAGAGAAAACAAGAACAGACCCACTGCATACCAAAAAGCATGTCATAAGAGTCGACTAATTGGGAGCTTCCTTCAAAGTCAGAGAGCATCTGCTTGATAGACAAGGAACCAGCAGTCTGCATACAGATGAGTCAGATCTGTAAAATGGATGCACATGCAACACTCAGGTTATGGAATAGGACTGCAGTGCAGAAGTGGATGAATAACCAGAATCATAGTTTACAGCTGCTGAACGCGAAGAAGAAAGAAGAAGAATGTTCCCTGCTGTCTCTTGTGAAACAGCCCCTGCAAAGTCAACAGCATACAAAAGCAATTATAGCCATCAGAAGTGACAACAAACATCATGCCACTAGAAGTGCAGTTCATCATCGATGGGAGCAGTAGTTACAACCCTTAGGAGCTTGTGCAAGCAATTTGCATAAGGAATTGGTAGTTAAAAGAAAAAAATTTGCCAAAATTAATAAATCTGTTGGCCTGTCTATCCTCCTTACTGGACCTGAAGTCCCTGGGAGTACTACATGTTGCCCATATAGTATGATCAACCACTAGGTCAGCCTTGTTTACTCAAAACGAAAGAATTATATTTAGAACAAGGCTGCCAGATTAGAAAAGCAGTGCTGCCCATTAGATCTCCTCCCCTTTCCCCTCCAAGACTTACTTACCTGCCAACCATGGCTAAGGGTTCAGTGTGCCCTACCATATCATTCAGTTTTCATATTCTCTTCCTAGACTAAGGCTTGTATCCTCCCCAATATGCTTCCCTTGAAGCCGATAGCACAACGTGGGACATCAGGTTTGGTTTACGCTGTAACATGTATGCACATGGGTGGATATGTGTACTCTGCGTTTGTACAAGGTCCCACAATTAAGTAATGAGACTGATTTTATTATGAATGCCAACTATAAAGAAAAGCATGAAATCTAAAGAGGCAAAATTCACCTATGATCTGGTAACTTTTCATCGCCGCTAGATAAGCAGGCAACAACAAAACTGTTATTTTGTTGACCTAATCAGAGGTGCATTGTTACGTAATCAGCTCGGAGCAGAAAGCTAACAAATTCTTTTCAAAACGCAAAAAAAGGGACTTTGAAACAGTTGAATTGATGCAACAAGTTTATTAGATAATTGTTTATCTTGTGCAAAAATATTTAGATATTCATGATTCAAAAGTGGTGTGGAAATGATTACCAATGCACCTAGACCTGGATGCCAAATTTATGTTCTTAATGATGAAATTGCAAAAGCCAGAGAACGGATACAAGAAGATCATTATTTTACTGTGAGAATGATGGCAGATAATTCTGGTGTTAATAGAGAAACCATTCATAACATTTTAGTGCAAGATTTTGGCAAGAAAAAAGTTGCCTGCCGATATGTACCACATTCGTTGTCTGATGACCAAAAACATACGTGGGTTGAGTACCCAAGAGACATCATCAAAACAAGAATTTTTGGCCCAGAAACAAGTGTGTGTTCTCAGCCTTCCATCCTATTCCCCACATTTGTCTCCCTGCGATTATTTTGTATTCCTAAAAATTAAAGTTACGTTTGAAAGGACGCTTTTTTAATGATATTGATGACATCCAATGATCTGTTACATCGATTTTAAGGGCCATAACAACAGAAGAACTACAGAGATAATTCCAGTGTTTGTTAGATCGTGTCACTTGCTGTATCAATGCACAAGGGGCTTACTTTGAATAAAATACAGGTTAAATCAACTGTTGATTATTTTAATTTGTATGGAATGTCTCACTTAAGCGTCAGACCTTGTATGTCTACATGTTTTAAGTGCTGTGTACCCAAGCACATACGATAACATTAATTGTAACCAACCTTAGCATATCTGCGGAGGAATCTGTATGAGATGGGAATTCCAAGGTCAAAGTCCACCACTCTCAGGACCTCCATCTCCATGGCAATAAACTGCTCACGATCAAAGGCATTGTCACAGATGTAAATGAAATCTTCAATCAATGGTGGGCAGCGCTCCTAAGTGACCGTGTACAAACAGTAAAAATGTCAGAAGTGGATCAAGTAATCTAATCCCGTCTACATGCCATTAAAGTATTAGGAATTGTTGAGCCATTATCTTTAATTAATTGTATCTAGTCAAGCTCACAATACAGTAACAACTGACTATAATGGAGAAAATAAATATATCCTTTTAACTGAAATATAAAATCAGTTAGAAAGATTCATTCTTTTGCTTCAAAATATTCCGAATTGTCACTGTAGAATGTCCCTGACAAGATGCAGCAAAATATGCCAAGCAATAAATTATCTTTAATATCAAATGGCCATATGTGACGTTGACCTGATTCAAAAGTTGCCCAAATGACTTGCCCAACTTCATTCTCAGGAAATGCAGGATCAATACAGCTGTTTCAAAGACCTGTAGGACGAGTTTGTAACTGCTGAAGATTGCTGTAGTGCACTTATATGACAAAGCAACATCTATCACATATGCTCTAACAAGGGTAGTCAGTTTCATTTCCTCATATACCACAGTAGGATTTCACCTGGGTACAGTACACTTTCCGGCAGCCACTTTTCCAACCAAGTTCAGCTCTTAGATGAGGGAGTTTCCCATTTCTGAGGGTTTGTAGCACTAACAGCACAGATGTGAAGATGACCACTTAGTGACGGTCAGAATTGGTGCTGTTTACCTTTTCGGCAGCATATTCTAGTGCTAGGATCTCTGCTATCTAGGTGGAACAGAATTTACCAGTGGGTATGTACTTAATGTCACAGTGGTTGTCTGTATACGTGACAAAGATGACAGCACCACCAATCTCAACCATACTGGTTTCTGATCCGTATGTGTATGCATGTATCCAAGACTGTTCGGGAGAGTTTTCCTGGATCATACTATGAGCAGCTTTCATCTTGAAGGTCACTGGACTTATCTCAGGCTGTAAGACCGCTACTGAAGTAATTATTTCTACTGTGTCGCTGACTTGCTCCAAGGTACAGGGCAAGATTCAGCAGTGTTGTTCTAATGGGTAGGCCAGCCTGGTGCTGTCTTCTAAGCATTTCCCTGATAGGTGATGACACTACACTTGAAACGCCTCAAAACCAGATTTTATAATCTTGCTTTCACTGGATGTGACAGAATACTATCACACTTTTCCATATGTAGGGGGTTGTAATGCAGCAGTTATGCACAATACAAGACCCTTAACTTCTACCAGCCTCTCTTGCTCAAGCCTACCCCACCTTCATATGGTGGACTCTGTTTTCCCTACTAATCCAGTTGAAGGTTGGGATCTCAACCCCCCAGCTGGAAACTGGATGGGACAACAAATAAGGTAGAGGTTACAGGATGAGCCAGCTCTCCCTCTAAAGAGATCCTGATGTCAGCAATACTGGTCCAAAAGAAGTTAAAATAAAAAACAACAACCCCACAGTATTACAAAAATCTCATATAAAAGTAGGTTTTTAAAGGGTTTTACCTCAGTCAGCCCAGCACAGCCATTCATTAATGTTTGTATCATTTACTGAACAAAACTAAGAACAGTTTGTGGGATCTTGGAACTGATTACCTGATACTCATATGATGTATTTACATGTCAGTCTTTTATTTACTCGATCACTACCCCTACATGCATTCTGACAGCTGGAAGACCCAAACCTTTAAATTAGAAATGTAACCTGAAACACTGTGTGCTGACAAACTAGTAAACTATCTACCATGCTACCGAAAACAAATTCCTTTCCTCAGTGCAGTCTAAGTGCATCCCTAACCAGTTAGCCAAACCAAGCCCTCCTGCAAGAACCACATACTCACATCAAGCCCTGCTGCAAGAACCACATACTCACATCAAGCCCTGCTGCAAGAACCACATACATCAAGCCCTGCTGCAAGAACCACATACTCACATCAAGCCCTCCTGCAAGAACCACATACTCACATCAAGCCCTCCTGCAAGAACCACATACTCACATCAAGCCCTCCTGCAAGAACCACATACTCACATCAAGCCCTGCTGCAAGAACCACATACTCACATCAAACTTGGAAGCAATGAACACTGAGGCAGCCCCAATCAGCTGCAGCACTTCTTTGTCAGCTGGCACCCTGGACAGGTACATGTCTGTCAGCTTGACGGCCAGGTACAGGGTCTCATGGTTGAGCTCAAAGTTCTCCTGAATCTCCACCATCCAGTCCACCAGTATGGCACGCATAAGGGTTGTGATGCGGCAATGGCCGTCGTCCATGTAAGCAGGTATGCTGAACATTTTCTGTGGAAGGTGACAGATCCACATGTTGAAATAATGTTGCTGAGTACAAGGTCTAAGAATGACCAATCCTCATATTAAAGAAACTAATGTCTAGGATAAGGTGGTCTGCCCTTGTATGCTCTATTTTGGGACCACCATAACAAGCATGTTGTAAAAGGTGACTAATTAGGGAGGAGTTTGCTGAAATTGGATGTGATGGGAAGAAAAAGGGAGGAGTTTGCTGAAATTGGATGTGATGGGAAGAAAAAGGGAGGAGTTTGCTGCAATTCGATGTGATGGGAAGAAAAAGGGAGGAGTTTGCTGCAATTTGATGTGATGGGAAGAAAAAGGGAGGAGTTTGCTGCAATTTGATGTGATGGGAAGAAAAAGGGAGGAGTTTGCTGCAATTTGATGTGATGGGAAGAAAAAGGGAGGAGTTTGCTGCAATTTGATGTGATGGGAAGAAATAGGGAGGAGTTTGCTGAAATGAGATGTGATGGGAAGAAGGGGGGGGGGGAGGAAGGAATGTACAGTGCCGTCTAACAAGTATGTTGTTGTAAAAGGCAACAAATTAAAGATTTGTTGAAATCAGATGTGCCAGGCCAAAAGGTGCAGATACTGCTGCCTAGCTGTAATTCCCAAAACATAAAGCCAACTGCCCTTAACTCTTTTGCCCTGAACAGCTACAAATCCGGCTGAATTCCCCATTATGCTGCTTAACCAGCATTTTCACACCGCCCAATTCCTGAGAAGCAATCTAACCCGCTTTTGACTGTTTTTCAGTATGCCTGCATGTAACTCATGTATAAAGGATTCTAGCTGCTAAAAATAGCAACTTAGCTACTACTACTGATATTTTCTGGTGTCATTGGAATTGGAACTCTTCGTTTGCTGCTGAAGATGAGAACGAGGCGCTTATGGGAGTGTCCCAAGTGCTATGATGTGGATTCTTAACTCAACATTGATATTTTTTTCTGAAAGGATGTGTTTCTTAGTGTTTTAAAGTGATTCAGTGTAAAGGAGATTTGTAAAAACCCAAGAAATATTTTGTTTATGCTGATGATGCTACCCAAAAAAAAAAAAAAAAAAAGGCTTATTATTCTATCGGTGGTAGAATGATAAAAGCATCAGGGGTGCGCTAGGAAAGTGACAGCGATAATTCATTATCACCCGATCGTTATATACCATCAACATCCGCTGACAGTGGGTGCCATTAGCATTAGCTGACAGTTTATGCACCACACACTCATACACTACCACCATTACTCTATAACTGGAATTAAACATGTTTTGTTTTTTTTACAATTTTACTAAGAATCTGGGAATCAATAATTCCTAGAATTTGAGAATGGGAATTAATTAGAATTTCTTTAAAACTGATGCAACAAGTCTAGAAAGTTATAGGGTTCCAGGATTTTTTCTATTGATCTTTTGAGACAAAAGGGTTAAAAAGGCAAACGAAGACGACCATGATACACTATTTCTGTTTCTTTCAGAAGTGAACACTATCATCGAACCATTTAGACCAGGGCTATTCCACTGAGTTTACACAAGGGCCAAAGTTGTTCTCCTTCGTGCTGACCAGCATTAAGCTCTGGAGGAAAGTTCTGGTTGTTCATCCACATTCTGGACTTTAGACTTGTCCCAGAACCTGAGAGTTGCATGCACATCCGTTTTACAGACCTGACTTATTTGTATGCAGACTGTTGGTTCCTTGCCTCTCAGGCAGATGCTTTCTGATTTCGAAGCAAACCCCCAGTTAGTCGACTTTTATGACATGTTTGTTGGAGAGGCAGCCAGCCATTCTTGTTTTCCTTACAATAAGGTCTCGGGAGCCACAATTTTGAAAATGGGTATACCAGGCCTGATCCCCAGCATAAAATGATCATTAATACAACTGGCAATGATCCGTAGACCACTTGCTTGGCCTCCATGGGCCAGATTTGGACCAAGGGCCGCCAGTTGAATAGCCCTGACTTAGACCCTCACATATTAACGACATTTTAAAATTTAACAAAACTGTCACAAACAACAGCCAGAAACAACCAACCTCTCTGCGCTTGTAATAGTCAAATATGTGCTGGGCGTAGATACCCACGTTGAATACATCTGAATAATTCTCCTGGTCAACTGACGGCAGGCTGTCCTCTTTCTTCTCTTCAATTTCTTGTCTGTTAGCAGCTTCACCAATATCACCATCAGAGCCATCCTGTTGAGGGAAGGACAAAGAAAGACAATGGACAAAAAATTAAAATATACAAGAAATCTCTGACAACAGTAAAGAAACAAACATTTCCTCTTAAGACTAAAAATTTTTTTTTTGGGTTTACAGATATATTTTGTGTTGATCAAAACATCTCACTTTGACTACCATGCTGTTTTAATGGCCCCAAGGTTAGCCCAGCGATTTATTTTTACGTATTACATACAATAAATGTGTACAAAAATCACAAAACTTGAGGTTATGAAGTATAAATACACAGGGTTTACTCTCACTGTTTTTCTGCACAGTCTCATTTTAACTCAAACATTATGTTCCACAATACAAATACTTACAATGATGACAAAAGAGATGTCTTCTTCCACCCTCTCAGCTGGGACCCTAAGATTAAAAAACACAATGAACATTAGACTAAGTTAAAAAAATACGCACACACAAATGCATAATTATCTGACGGCACTTTATAACTCTCAACAAAGAAACACATAGCTATTGAAATGAGCATAATTTGTTTTCAAAATGTTAACATTTAATCTTTCTGTAATATAATGAGGGAAACTTCAGAGTGCACACAAAAATACCTAAGTGTTCAAGCAATCATCTCAGTTTTTTCCCCCATCTGGGTTAGTGACAGTTATGTGTACAGGCTTTCCTATTAATTAATAAAAAATGAGTCATAAGATTATTATTTTTTTTAAAAACATCGGATGACTATGTATTTCTTGTATTTTTATATACATGCTGTTTTTATTCCTGATTTTGTAGCACTACTACATGTTTTATTACATTAAACCCACACTATCCCATTGTTACTTTTAGACAACTACTACTGCTGCTGCTACAACTACCACCATTAGGTCTTATACTAGTGTTAATGCTACCAACACTACTATCATCTAGATTATTTCTACTACTATCACTACAATCTTTCACCAGTTATACTCAGAGATTGTACTGAGCTGTCATCCTTCAAGTCCAAGTTCAATCTCAAGTCACCACCACCGAGTCTCAAGTTACCAAGAATCCTTTCAAGTCGAGTGTACAGTCAAGTCATTTGCAAGTCGTGTGTGCATGATACAGTGCTTATGGATTAAACCAGTTTGTTGTAATACCGAAATAACAGTCAACAATTGTTTGCTTTTGATTTTGTATGTAAACAGCTGAACTTAATGCATACAAATGCATACTGAAGGTGCTGTTATTCTAATAAATTATATTTCAGTAGTAGATGTACTTTATATAATTATTAGTAATTCTTTTATCTAGCTACTGCTACAACACGGAGCAACCATCAAATACCACAGGATTTTATAATGATAAACCTCTTGTCTGTGGGCATTTTCATACGATTTTAGTAGTAATGAGAGGCTACAATTAGTTATGATCAACAATTTTTTTTAAAATTGATTGTGAGTCTTAATTGGCCGACCACCCCCCCACTGCACATCAGACCAGCCCACAAGCTGCTGGATCACCTCTTTGGTATTTCCCTCAGCATGTGGCCACATAACATGAGTGTTGGTTGACTATCTTTTGGTGTGTTTACAGTGTTTATGTCAGGCAACACCTCTTTCTACATGAAGTTCTTGTAGTTTTGTCAAGGTTGTTGATTCCCTGTCATCTTCTGAACCATCTACTCATCCTGCCTCCTTGACAGCACTGAGAACATCGGCCCAGGCCACTGCTTTTCCTGTGTCAACTTTGGCCCTTCCAGCAAGCCAGTCTGCTTATTTATTTCCTCTTACTTCAGTGTATCTTGGCACACACACACACACACAAAAACAACGAATTCCTGTCAAATGAGATTTCCTCAGAGACCCCACCAATTATTTCTGAATCTATCTTGCATTGATCTTCTTAGGCATGTTCACAGAATCAGTCAGAAAGTATGCATGGAAAAACCTATGTCTCTAGCCAGAACACTGCTTTTGTTACTGCCATTACCTCCACAGTCTAACTACATGTAAACAAGGCAGAAGCACTGTTATTTACAGCTCTCTCTCTCTCTCTCTCTCTCAAACCAGAACCGTGAAATTTGTCTTAGTTTAAAACTCTAGCATACAGGTCAAGTCTCTACTTACCCAGCAGCTAGATTGATCTGGGCCTGCTCCTTATCAGAGAAGGAAGAGTCTTGGGATGAAAGACTGTCTGTGAGACTTGAAGTGGAGGACACACTAAAGCAATTACTTGAATTCTGGATGAAGCTAGACAAGGCATCTGGCTCCTTTTGAATGCCTGTCTTTTTCTTGGTAAGGGGTTTGCTATTCTTGTTGCTTGGGGCAACCCTGATGTCTTTAGTTGGTAGCTTTAGTGTCCCTTGCGATTTCTTCTTGTCAGTTTCAATAATCTGATCTTTTGTTGCCTGTTGGACACAGAATGGACGGGAAAATGCACTCGCAAAAAACTAAGGTATTTTGGTGGGGGTTTAGATTGTTTTGAACTCATTCTATACCATATAAAACACCACAGGTAAATTCTATATAGTCAAATCACAAAAGTATACTTTTGAGGTGACTTGACTTTTGTATTAAATACACAGTGAACTGTATGGTATAAAGTGAGCTTAGAAAACTAAAAATAGTCACAGTAATGAAACTCTCTCTACAAACCGCTCACTGATTAGTTCAAAGACAGTGTGCTCTTCCGGCTTTACTGATTAGTTCAAAGACAGTGTACTCTTCTGGCTTCAACTGATTAATTCAAAGACAGTGTACTCTTCTGGCTTCAACTGATTAATTCAAAGACAGTGTACTCTTCTGGCTTCAACTGATTAATTCAAAGACAGTACACTCTTCTGGCTTCAACTGATTAGTTCAAAGACAGTGTACTCTTCTGGCTTCAACTGACTAATTCAAAGACAGTACACTCTTCTGGCTTCAACTGATTAGTTCAAAGACAGTGTACTCTTCTGGCTTCAACTGACTAATTCAAAGGCAGTACACTCTTCTGGCTTCAACTGACTAATTCAAAGACAGTACACTCTTCTGGCTTTACTGATTAGTTCAAAGACAGTGTACTCTTCTGGCTTTACTGATTAGTTCAAAGACAGTGTACTCTTCTGGCTTTACTGATTAGTTCAAAGGCAGTATACTCTTCTGGCTTTAACTGATTAGTTCAAAGGCAGTACACTCTTCTGGCTTCAACTGATTAGTTCAAAGGCAGTACACTCTTCTGGCTTTACTGATTAGTTCAAAGGCAGTATACTGTGCTGGCTTTACTGATTAGTTCAAAGGCAGTACACTCTTCTGGCTTTACTGATTAGTTCAAAGGCAGTACACTCTTCTGGCTTTACTGATTAGTTCAAAGGCAGTACACTCTTCTGGCTTTACTGATTAGTTCAAAGGCAGTACACTCTTCTGGCTTCAACTGATTAGTTCAAAGGCAGTACACTCTTCTGGCTTTACTGATTAGTTCAAAGGCAGTATACTGTGCTGGCTTTACTGATTAGTTCAAAGACAGTACACTCTTCTGGCTTTACTGATTAGTTCAAAGGCAGTATACTGTGCTGGCTTGCCTCTACCACACACAACTGATTCACTAACTCATTTGATCACAGAAGTTAAAGAACCAATATCACAGCACTCTGAACATTCCGATAAGCACCGAGTCCTCCAACCTCAGCAGCAAGGTCACTCTTCACTGACAGCTGATGATGGTAATGAGAGCAGAGTAGCTTCTATGATTTCATCAGATTTGTCAATTTCTTATGTCCCATAGTACTGTTATTTCAACTTAAACATTGGATGCATTGAACTAAAATGTTTCAAGACAGAAAGACTTGATTTAATGACTGATCTGAAAAAGAACTATTAGTGCAGGATGAGTTCTTCTTTGTTCACTGGCTGTAAGCATCAGAAGAAAGCCCTAGTTGCTTGTCCATTTGGACTTTGGCTTTTGCGTGTACATCTGTTTTACTGGCTTATTTGTGTGCAAATGGTTGTTCCTTGCCGCTCAGGAAGATGAACTCCGGCTTTGAAGGAGGCCCCCAATTAGTCGACTCCTACGACATGTATGTTGGGGAGGCAGTAGATCTATTCTTGTTTTCCGCACAATGGGGCCCGGGAAATCACATGGGTAGAATGAGTTTACATCTGCAAATAAAATAAGAGCTACAGAAAGTTTACGTAACATTTATAAACATTTTATTAACTCTTTCGGTAATAGGCAACTCGCATTATGTTTAATGATTAATTTTTTTTAACCAAATAGGCAATTCTGATCTTTTCTGTCTCATTTTTTCTGTTACACTAATTCATTCTGTCCCAATATTAATTTAACTCATTCTTCTCCACAACTGTATTATTTATATTTAAACTCACTAAGAGTCATCAGTAAATTCTTGAGTCTGTTTGTTCTCATAACATATATATATTATCTTAGCGTTACCCCAATGCCTAACATGATCACATGTTTTATGCGATCCGCCGACATTTACGCCAGACTATCTTATCCGCTTACGTGAAATATGAGCCTATGTTAAATAGTTATGTTATCACAACCAAGGTCACTGCACACTCCCATGCGTGCTCAGTCCTCCGATGCAGCAGCCACTACAAGGTACTTCTGCTATGTGTTCTCATGAGAAGTTGGATATGTCTCCTATCTCGGCCTTAAAGCCGGCATAGATGTGCTTCACCTTGCTTTACTCCCATGTCATGAAATCATGTTAATGTCAAAGATTCATCATTATCCACTAGCTCACTCCGTTAAATAGTTGTGAAACTATGGCAATTTTGTTAGTCTATAATGCTGTCAGAAAAAGATTTTTCATTCACTTTTGTGTGTGTGTGTGTGTGTGTGTGCATATAATGTCAAACAAGAATAAGCAGTTTTTATTCTAGTAATGTAGTCTCCATTCAATTTGGTGCAAAAATAAAAAAATATGACTGTCATAGTTGTGGAGCTATGGCATTTTTCTTAGTAGATACTGAAAAGTAAAAAACATGGTATCTGGGTAGGTGCAAGGGTTAACGGGCTCAGTAGTCAGTGGTTTAACACTAACAAACACTTCATTATTTTTAAAATTCTGACATTTAATTAGATTGATAATTTTTTATGTTAAACCAGTTAAAAAAAAAAAAAATACATCAGTTAGACAGTGAAAACAAATTCAATAAATACTGATTCTACAATAAAGCTTTTGGCTTCAACTAACAACAAAAAAGGCTTGCAAAATACATACATTTGTGATGTCACCAAATGCTGCTCTGGCCGGACCATTAGCAGGTTTTCTCACATTAGGCTGCAGCCCTTTCGCACGAACCTCTGCCATCTGAAGAAATAAATGGAGTGCAATATGTAATTTGGCAAGCACTCACAATATTCAGTGTCAGGTGTACCTTATTTTTCATGTTTAATTGACCCCGGGAACTGCACACAGTATTTGTTTATGTAACAAAGCTTCATATCAGTAATAAATCTCAGCAATGCTTTCTAAATATTTTTTAAATTAAAAGGTATATATACATATATATCGTTTTTTAGTACGTGCCCTGAGACACTTTCAGCGCAACAGTTGTGGAATTAATGTCAAATACAAGAAACATACATTTTTGTTAAAGATCAATTGGTTGCATTTTAACTTCGTACTAGGTAACTCTTAAAAGGCAATCCAGCAAAGATCACTGTATACATACACCCCGAATTTAAAAAAAAATGCATTCTAATTATTTGTAATGCAAGGGCAACAAATCTGACATAACACTGAGAATGAAGTAAATAATTTGGGCTCCACAACTTTTAGTAGAGATTGGCAGAAAACATACATGTAGATAGACCGAAAATAAGGTTAGGTGTAAAAAGAAAAAAATGGTAAAACTAAAGTGAGGATGGCATAAAAAGAACCTACTGAATTCTCCACAACTCAAATTATCTATATGGCAAGGGTCCAATATGGTGAATCAGTAGCTAACTATTTAGTTATGGCAAGTTATTTTCTTCTACAGATTCAGACAACTGTACAGATTCAGACAACTAACTGTTTCAGTGGCCTGTTACTACTAAAGAACTGGTGGTGCCCTTATAGGATTATCTGCATCTGCTACTACTGCTTTGTTGTAACTGCTGCTTATAACCACAATAAACTGCTGTTCTGGTGTCAGCTATTTTGTGCTGATGGCTGCCTGATGCTTTAATTCATTTTAATGCAAGTATATGCTATTGGCTTTGTCGAGACTGTGGTCAGTGCAGATTTTTAAGTGATGAATATTCCAGTTAGTTTTTGGTCTAACTTCTGAATAACGGCCCCAAATTATCTACACAAAAAATTTTTTTCTGCGTAGATAATTTGGGACCGTTATTTGAAAGATAGCCAGTTTTTGTTGTCAACCCGTTTATGGTATGTAAATATGTTAGTGTGTAAGTTGTACCCCACCAAGACATTACACAAAGCGATAAACACCCAGTGACACAAAGTGAAACCATGCGGATGAGGATCACCGCTTTAGAGGTCCCGGAAACCCTGTTTAAATGTTAGGCCATATTAAGGGCCCTCTGCAAAACCTAGGGTGGGGCTTCAAATAATGATAGCTTTAATAATGAGGTACTGCTGGAGTAGTATTTTATAACTATGAAACTATACTGATCCTGCAATTTAAAAAAAAATTTGGCTCTCCTAGCACATTTGGACGCAAGCGGGACGGCTTCGGTCGGCTTAGTGGGAGTTCTCTCCCTTGGCCGCATTGACAACAACGAGCGGAAAAAGTCACAAATCAAATGACATACTTACGTATCACCATCCGGGTGCGTGTAGGGGTGCGTACAGTTGCGTAGTCATCATACGGTTGCGTCTAGGGTTACCTATCATCATACGGTTGCGTGTAGGGCTGCGTAGGGTGTGGGTTGGGGTAGGATTAGATGTGAAAATGGTGACGTAGAACGTCCAAATACTGGGCGACAATCTGATGCTTGTGGGAGTGGCGCCACTGGAAGTGTGCCAAATATGACGGCAATAGCGCGCGGCTGGTGCCCAATCGGTGGCGAATTGTCCGTGTCAGTAGCATCCACCGTCCGTCGACTGTTTGGGTGTGTATGTGACTGTGCGCGATTATAGCTAACTACGGCGTCAAAATTGTCACATCTAACGCTAAACCTAACCCTAACCGTAACCCAAACCCTAATCCTACCGCTAACCCTACCCCTAACCACGCAAATTTATCGGTCATCAAAGCATACAGATCGGCAAAACACCAAAAAAAAAAAAAAAAAATAAACCCACAGATTTCCCCACAAAAGAAAAACGCAGATCTGGGGGGACACAACCAAGCATTGGCAGCCCTGATATCGACCTCACTGTTTGATTCGTGACTTTTTCCGCTTGTTGTTGTCAATGCGGCCAAGGGAGAGAACTCCCACTAAGCCGACTGAAGCCGTCCCGCTTGCGTTAAATTGTGCTAGGAGAGCCAAAAAATTAAACGTTGTTGTCTTTATAGTATAGTATCTACTATCTTGGTATGGAAGTAAGTCATTATTATCATACTAGCAGGTCCTTTGCAGAACATTGCTCTCATCACCGTCTGCTTTAAAGAAACTCAGGGCTCTACTGGCAAATTTGGCCGGTAAGCGGACTGCTTCGGCCGGCTTAGCGGGGCTTCGTGGGAGTTATGTCCCTTCGCCAAACTCAAAACAAGTCGCGGAAAAAGTCACGAATCAAATTACATACTTACCTATCATCATCCGGGTGCGTGTAGGGCTGCGTAGGGCGGCGTCTAGGGTTACCTATCATACGGTTGCGCGTAGGGTGTCATCATCATACGGTTGCGCGTAGGGTGTCATCATCATACGGTAGCGTGTAGGGATGTGTAGGGTGTCTATCATCATCATCATACGGTTGCGTGTAGGGTTGTGTAGGGTTTGGGTTAGCGGTAGTGTTAGGGGTGTGGGTTAGGGGTAGGGTTATGGGAGAGGGTTAGGGGGTAGGGTTAGGGTTAGATGATGTGAAAATATTCACGTAGGAGGTGGAAATACTGGGCGACAATCTGATGCTTGTGGGAGTGGCGCCACTGGAAGTGTGCCAAATATGACGGCAATAGCGTGCGGCGGCTGGTACCCCAATCGGTGGCGGCGAATTGTCCGTGTCAGTAGCATCCACCGTCCGTCGACTGTTTGGGCGTGCATGCGACTGTGCGCGATTGTAGGGAACTACGGCGTCACAATTGTCACATCTAACGCTACACCTAACCCTAACCCATCTTACGCAAACAACCAACCCTACACGCAATAAGCAGCCCTACACGCAACCGTAGGCCGATGATAGACACCCTACGCAACCCTACACGCACCCGGATGATGATAGGTAAGTATGCCGTTTCATTCGTGACTTTTTCCGCGACTTGTTTTGAGTTGGGCCAAGGGACATAACTCCCATGAAGCCCCGCTAAGCCGGCCGAAGCAGTCCAGCTTACCGGCCAAATTTGCCAGTAGAGCCGAAACTCAGTCTTTCACCAGCTCTCCTGCTTCATGTACTTTCATTCTGACGGAGTCATATACTGTGTTCATCTTCGTGTTGGTCGGCCCCTGCTTCCTGGTACCATGCCTTCTGCTATTTTTTATTTTTTTCCCAATCCGTCGTGGCGACTGATACAAAATAAAAATTGCCAAAATATTTCAGCTTTCGAGACATGACATGATGTGATGCTGTTTATTACACAATCTTCCTTGATGTTCAGATCTTTCAAGATGTCAGTATTTCTCCTCTTCTTTGTTCAAGATATTCTGAGAATCTTTCTATAGGATTTCAGCTCAAAAGCCGCTATTCTCTTTTTTTGAAGCGGACTGATCATCACTGACACTGATGATTAAAAATTAGGACACCATTTTAAACAAAAACAACTGTCAACTCACCCCTTTCTTATTGTTTGGGTCCCAATCTCTGAGGTTGGGGATCCACATTCTCCGATAATTTTTTCTTACCAAACATTTTTCAGAATGCTACGAATTGTTTGAAAGCAAATCGATGTAATCAGATACTCGTTTTGTTCAGAAATGATTGCAAAAACTGAGACGAAATCCTCAACATGAGCAGCAAACCGACGATCTGTTTGTCTTGTTCGCTGTTTGAAATTTGTTCAAGGTCGCTTTCTCTGATTGGTTGCCAATCGGTGGACTAGCCAATCAAATGGTCTTGAGATAACTCAGCCATACCTAGCACAAATCACGATTACTTCCCCTTACTTTGAAGTCGTGACAAAGAACAATAACAATAAAACATTAAAAAGTCAACGCGTGAGTTCCGGGGCCCTGTCAGAGAACTGTCTACCCAAAAGCATGTGATAAGAGTCGACTGACTAGGAGTTTCCTCCAAAGTCGAAGTGGCTCTGCCTGAGAGGCAAGGAAACAACAGTCTGCATACACATTAGCCAGGTCTGTAAAACGGATGTTCTCGCGTTCATTGAGGTTCTGGAACAGCACTACAGTTCAGAAGTGGACGAGAAACTTTCAACCGGAGTTTACAGCTGGTAAAGCTTTAAAAGCCTTTACTAAAGGCGGAGAAGAAGCAAAACAACAAACAGGGGCCCTTTGTTTATTGACACACACACATTCGTAGTTTGACTCAGATATTTCAGCAAGATCTTTAATCGTTTCAGTCGCATGTACCTAATTTAATACTTTCTAACCTACAGAGTAACAATCTTTCAAAGAGTCTTTGTTTTGTCAACTACAGCCAGTCACCTTTTGACTTCTTTGTGTATGCAGACATCCTCTGAACAGTCCCGTAGCTACCGTGTGCTCAAAGTGAATGTCATTTTTAATTTCTTCTGTTACTGTAAGTTTTGTACCTGTTATGTCTGTTAGCATTATTTTTCGTGAGCGCAGAACAAAATGATCCTCCCTGTCTTTAAACATATTTCTTTCTTTCTTTCAATCTTTTTCTTCTTCTTCTTCTTCTTCTTCTTCTTCTTCTTCTTCTTCTTCTTCTTCTTCTTCTTCTTCTTCTTCTTCTTCTTCTTCTTCTTCTTCTTCTTCTTCTTCTTCTTCTTCTTCTTCTTCTTCTTCTTCTTCTTCTTCTTCTTCTTCTTCTTCTTCTTCTTCTTCTTCTTCTTCTTCTTCTTCTTCTTCTTCTTCTTCTTCTTCTTCTTTTTCTTCTTTGTTAGGGTTCACCGGCTGTAAACTCTACCGCAAAGTTCTTGCTGTTTATCCACTTCTGGACTCTGGTCTTGTTCCAGAACTTTAGTTTTGCGTGCACATCCGCTTTACATATCTGGCTTCTCTGTGTGCAGACTATTTTGTTTCTTTCCACTCAAGCAGGGGAATTTCGAAGTAATCACTCCTAATTAGTCAGCTTTTCCAACATATTTGCAAAGATTCAGTGGGTCTGTTCTGTTTTCACCCAAAATGGGGCTCCGGAACTTACACGGGGATCTCATACATGATTCGTTTTTTAATGTCTAATCACTAATTGTGGGGGGGGGGGGGCGGGGGGCGGGGGAAAGGGGGGGGGCGGGGGAGGGGGGGGGGGCGAGGAAGCCCTCTGCATGTCTGATTCTGGGATTGAAAATCCACCAGTTCTGAATTTTATCAACATATGTTTCAACATTTTGCAGAACATTTCACAATATTTGGCCTTTCTTACTATACCGCATTGAAGTTGAATAGGCAAGGAACATTTCGCACTAGTTGAATGTTTCACTAGCTACTCTGACAGCTGCTTGTTGTTCGGGACATAAATTACAATTAAGTTGATCATTAGATTACTATACAATATTATAGGCATTTGACTTACTGTATTCGAGTCACTACACATACATTTTTGACATCAGCGATCAGATGATCTGTAACCCAGATGAGAAATCTACAGGACAAATTGCAGATACCCAGTTCAACTTTCAGAGAAATTATGTTTAATGCAGTCTTAACAACTACACCAGATATTTTCCTTGATGAGGTAGGAATTTTTTCTAGTGTACTCTAAAAGTGTACTCTAGTGTACTCTAATGTACTCTAAAAGTGTATTCATCGAAGTTTGACACAGCAATGAGGAGCTCACTGTTCTTCTTTTGTCCTACTGCTAATGCGGGGAAGCTTCACAGCGAGAGGTTATGAGTCGTTTCCTGTCCTTTGCTAGTTGTGTAGCTTGTTTTCATATCATACTGCATTTCTGTAGTATAGCTTTTACTACTTCCGACCTTTTTTTTTTTGGGGGGGGGGGGGGGGGGGGGGGGGGGGGGGTCTTGCCTTATGACTTGCTATTCTCATATAGCACGCTTTAGCTGTATGCTGATTTTGTTCAAATCTGACCAGATAACCAAGCCATTTGATTTCCCTGATGTACTACGCAACCATTGACCGGTACTTGGTCTTCTAAAGTTTTAAGTTCTTTATTGGCGACTCTGCCTCCTGTTGTTTTTTTTCCCCTCCGTATTTCTCATACAGCTCATCTCACAGGTGATGAGATGTTCGCATTATTGCGTCGAATGGTTAAGTGGTGAGGGGGAAGGGTGTGGGGCGGGGGGGGGGGGGGGGTGTCGGCGCCCCTGAAGTGGGTGTAGCAGGAGAGGTCATAAAGTCACTCTATAGGTCATTAAGTTAATTTCAATTTGATTGTTTTGTGTGCAATTTCGGGAATCAATGATTAGCAGTTTTAATCAATTTTAATCACATAATGGCACCACCAATATTGCGACGACAGTCATCGCGCCATTTTCTGAATCTACAATTCACACCACCACGTTGGTCACAGTCGAAAAACATTCCAAATGAAAACCGCAGCTCATAGTGTCACGCCATTCACTCAACTCAGAAGCTGGGCTACAAAACGATATCCTTTCAGTCTACAAATGGAGCAAAAATGCAACTGCCACAGTCTGGCAGAAGCAAAAAAAATGTGTCCCGACTCAGAACAGTGGCCGTGCCTAGCGTCCATTTTGACCGGAAGATGTCTTAGATGCTATCACCGGCGATGTTGTGCGTCGCGTGTTACACAATGTGGCCGCTTTTAACGACCACAGAACATCTAGAACTGGCCCTCACCTCAACCTCCCTACCCCACAGTCTCAGCCTACATTCAACGAGAGCCTTCACCTACGTCCTGTGGTTTGAAGTAAATTCATCTTGTACTTGAAGTCCGAGAAGGCTATAAACCGTGGTTGGCCGTTCATTCATGCTTGGTGACTTTTCACACGCGCTAGTGTATGTTACAGGGGTGCACGTTGTGGTGTGTTCGATCTCTGAGCCTTCTATATTGCGCATCGTTTACTGGTTGTTGTGAGCGGCTTGCGATATTGCGTATATTATACCCTTTCAGACTTAAATTAGGACATAAATTTACTTCAGCTGTCAGCATTGACGAGCGACAAGGGAAGCTTTTCTGCAGCAAGGTTGCCTTTCAGGGCCTACCAAAAAATGTTAAGAATTTGAAACCACAGGACGTAGGCTGCACTCTCTCGTGGGACGTAGGCTGAGGCTGTGGGGTAGGGGAGTTGGGGTTTGAGCCAGTTCTATGTGTCGTGGTGTCGTTAAAAGCGGTCACATTGTGTAGAGCACAGGATATCGCCGGTGATAGCATCAAAGACAAAACAACGTGACACCCTGTAACATAGATTAGCGCGTGTGAAAGGTCACCAAGCATGAATGAGGCGACCAACTTTATTAGAATTGAAACAAAATAACCCTAAATATAAGGGGAGTGTACTGTTAAAAAAAATAAGCAATTGTTTCTATCGCTTATTACTTCCTCTGCAATATGCAGACGGCATGTTTGTCCTGGCACCTCATATAGTTTCCTTCCATAGTAATAGTTGTAGTAGTAGTAGTAGTAGTAGTAGTAGTAGTAGTAGTAGTAGTAGTAGTAGTAGTAGTAGTAGTAGTAGTAGTAGTAGTAGTAGTATTCGTAGTAGTAGTAGCAGCAGTAGTAGTAGTAGTAGTAGTAGTAGTAGTAGTAGTAGTAGTAATAGTAGTAGATGTGGTAATCGTAGTAGTAGTAGTAGTAGTAGCAGCAGTAGTAGTAGTAGTAGTAGTAGTAGTAGTAGTAGTAGTAGTAGTAGTAGTAATAGCAATAGTAGCAGCAGCAGTAGTAGTGATACAAAATAACCGGTGTACGCAAGAGTTGAATACGAGCTGGCAACGAACACGGTGAAACGATTATGTATTGACCCTTGGGAGTCACCAAGTGGGAAAATATTGTCGGTGGCAGAGATGAATGGAGGCGGATGATATCTGCATCAATGAACACCAGGAGCTCGGAATTCTAAGGAAGAAGAAGAAGAATTGACAGTTAGTAAGTCGAATTTGTCATCTATGAATGCGTTACGATTATAATCAGAGTAGCTCGTATCATTCCTCAGTATTATTGAGTAATAATACCGTGATAGCAACAACCAACATACTTTACTTGCACAGGACTGCATGATACATTAATTAGGTTGTCACAGGTGCCCTAATCAAAACATGGGGGAGGGGGGGGGGACCCTAGGTGCCTCTTCAAAGGATTAAACGGCCATTCATGTAGTTGAGCATTTGATTATACATTACATTGCGAATTATTTCCTACTGATGACAGCATTACTGTTGTTGTTGTTATTATTTTTGTTTTATTATTATTATTATTATTTACTTAAAAAAGTCTTATATTCCTTGAGGGCCCCCCCCCCAATGTTTGCTTAATATCAGTCACCATGGCCCTAATTATAACAATATTGGAGGTTAAATGATGTATCATTGGTTTGCTTTGTTGGATTGCCATATAGGATACTATTTTTAAGTCGCAGAGGTGATCAAATCAACAGGAAGCAGCCCGGGTTTGACAGGCAAACAGATAACTTGAGGATTTCTAATTACGACCTGTCTGCTGACCAACTCTTAATGGTAAGACAAGAAATTTGATATTTTGTCAGTTACTGACAGACATGATCAGCAGCCCATAGAAATTCATGGAGGTTCAATCAGTATCGATC